TGTTATTTTCTAATTGTTTTGCAGCCGCACCTCCTCACACCGTGTGGGAAGGAGTACACAGACCTGCAGCTCTTAAAACGTCCACGAGGCCGACAGAGAGCAGAGGAGAGAGACATCGACGTAACCTGGTCGGTTTTAACAGAGTTGCGGCTTTTATGAGAAATCCCAGCAGGTCTTGTCTCCCATTAACACCAGGAGCATTCAGCAGCTCAGCTGTTGTGTAAAATACAGCAGCTGACTGCTGGAAGGAACTTGTATCATTTCGGTGCTGGGTAAAAGCTCTGGCTCTTTGCCATAAATTCCTCTACATAGGAAAAACGCTGTATGTATTAAATTCAAAGATATTGCTGCAGTTTCTTTCAAATGACTTTGCTCGTGATGTCTGGATTTAATACAGATATAAGGCTGTGACGTACAGGCACGTTCAGTCACACGCCGTGCTTCTAGCCTCGCTGTTGACGTCAAGCTCACCTGGCTCGCCCTCACTCACACAGGTCTCTCACACCAAAGGCAGGTGTCTTATCCACTGTTTCATCACCACCCATTTTACACTGGTAACAGATAGGTACTCGGTATCAAGACTCATTTAGAAAACAGAACAGTCTGGAAACAATATTTTTCCATACTTATCCAGTCCTTGAAATGACTAAAATCAAAGTCCATACCGTGTAGGAACTCTGTTCAAAGTACCTAACATATATGGTGTATAGAGGACACTGCAGATTGTATCCCATCATTTTAACATGCAGGTCAGGTTTCATTCCTGTTCATGTGGCTCAAATCACAATCACTTCCGAGAAGACAGTAAATACGATCGCTACAAACTGTGAGTCAAATTTATTCTGTGACCACTGATTTTCAAAATAACACCTCAACATCCTGTTTCATGTGGAAACTTGTTACATAGAAGAATTGCACATTTAAGACGTCTCTTACTTGTACATGACAGCCAGCGCGTTGATCTCCACCTCTCGACCCATTGCTGGAAAACAGACAGTACCATTAATCTCACTGTCATCACAGCACAGAGAGCAAACAAGACAGCATCAAATATTTCACCAAAATAAAAAGGGGTCCACGAATCATTAAAAACAGTCGTACCTGTGGGTCCTGAAGCTTGTACAGATAATCCTCAAAATCGCCTTCAATGAACTGCAACGAAGGAGACACGAGTGAAACAACACAGTCAAACAAGAAAAAGTTCTTGTTTTAACTCAGAAGTTAGTCTCAAGTCTCGGCTTTGACGTCTCACATCAACTACAAGTCTTAAACGTTGCGTTTTGAATCGGAGGCTAGCGTTGCCTCTATGAAGGCAGGTTTTTCATCCCACCTTCAGCTTTCGACGTGTTCGGACAGTCGGGTTTGTGTCAAGCGCACCTCGATCTTCATGATTTATGATGCCTCTTTTAACCTCACGCTCATTCACGCACACTTTGGTCTGTTGTGATTGTCTAGTTGGCTGCTACAATAGTCTGCTTTGGCTCATATCAGCCACTGTGACCAATGGATGAAGGAGGAAAATTCTGGTGATGTTCTATATGTTTGAGTACCGATTGCTAAAAACTACGGTGTTCAGCTGTTTTAAGAAATAATGACCTGTTTTTTAAAGATACCGGCCTTCAAGCAACCAATGAGCTTGAAGTGGCAATCAGAAAGTACTGAGATGCGGATAAACACATTGTTGGTTTTGGTCTTACTGAACACACCAAACTGATCTTTTATAGAATCAAACATCAATCATCTGCTGCTACATTACTTTGTATTCTGGCTCTAGTTTATTTATTTGTTGTTTGTTTCTCCTTCCTGTGGATAACTGCTATGATATGGACAACACATCCAGATCATTTTACAAGTAGCTTCAGTGAAGTCTGACTTCAGAAAATACTTGGTAAACCCTCGATCTGCTGGAACCACATTACCAGGCGACAGATTTTCAAGGTAGCCGCATTAACTCGAAACTTTAAGAGTGTCAAGGTGAAAGGAGGAGTCAAACGGGGGGGGGTTTAATTAAATTGGAAAAGAGGCAAATTAAACGATCCATTTCTAAACCTGCGAGAGCTCAAAAAAAAGACCACAATGCAGCAGCGTGCAGGTCTTCAGACAAAGACCTCATAATGACACCTCATGTTTGAAAACAGTCACCTTTATCCAACATTCTGGGAGATGTCCGAAAGCCCTGCTGTAGTTTAGGCGTCATGACTATTTCACTGTCATAAAAACACTAACTTTTGCTTTCAGTTCCTCCTCCTGTCATTCAGCTTCAGTTATGAAGCTTTCGGTTCAGATCCACAAAAACACAGACACAAAACCTGCTGTCTCATCCCACAGGTTCACAATCATTTCTGTTTTTTTACATTTCTCTGTAATCCTGGATCGATTACAATTTACGGCAAGATTTGCATCTCATTTTCAGCTACTTGTAACGCTGCAGATTCATAGAGAGAAGCTTAATGTACTCAGCAGCTACCACTAAAGACTTTGAATTTGTGACAAAAATAACTCATTTAGAGAAATTCTCAATATCTATGTTTTGTCATATTATCACATCCCACTGCAGACTACAAACAACAATATTATTTCATTTAGTCATGCTATGAAGAGAAAAACAACCCTCCCCAAACCTAAATAAAACAACTTTAATGACAGTTGGTTAGGTTTAATGCTCTGACTGGGTCACTTATGGTGCACATACCGCCTCATAGCTCTCTCTGTTCTGCTTCAGGAACTCCACACATTTGGCCCGGACTTCAGTATGAAGGCTTTGGCAATGCAGCACCTAGACGGGGTCAAAGGTCAACAGTGTCAAACGCACATTAACAATTAAGGTCACACGGTCAACATGCAGACATGTACATATATAATTTCCATGATTTGTTAACCAAGTTTTTAAAACTTGTATCACTTGCTGCCTGAGCTCACGCTCCTTTAACCACACTACATTAAGAACTCAATTCTGGAAAGTGACAAATGTAAATATTTTACAGCGTAAGTTCATAAATGTTAACAGTTGGCTTTGAAACTCAGCCTAAAACCTTGCTACTAAGGTTAACTTTTATCCGGCTAACATTAAGACAGTTGCTAGCCTGCACCAGCACAACAAACAGACCAAGCCCTGCTTTTCACCTGTGTTCAGTAAGCTAGTTGGAAAGTTAACGCTAGCTGTTTTTCTTCAGTTGTACCACTTTACCTGCTCGGCGACAGCCCGAAACAAGCACGACCCGTCTTTGGCAATTTTCTTCCGATGCAAACCGATTGATTTCAAGTAGTCATCCATTAATTTCTCTGCTCCTCTCTCCTCATTACTTTGCATGCTTCCGCCGCCGTCCATGCTAGCGGGGGGCTAGCAGCTAGCCGCTAAAGCTAGCTGGTTTGCTAATACCTGCGTGTTTGACGGTTAACGTTAGCGATTAAATCTTTTAGACGCCACCGGCTACAAGTTGTCAATATCGCCCCGAGTGAGTTTAAATTTCTACATCTAAGGTCTAACGAGTGTCAAATACAACACCAGTTTCTAGTTTCGTTTTCCAGGAATCCCTGCTCATGCCAGAGACTGTATTCCTGATTGTCAGAAAGTGAAACTAGTGCAGTTAACTTTAGCTGGCAGTTAGCAGGCAGGCTAACAGCTAGCAACACACCCCCTTCTTCCTCTACGGTGTCAAGTAGACAGCTACGCGTCAGAGTATTTCCTGTTAATCTACCAAAATAAAAGTCTAAACAAAATAAAATTTAAAACTGTGATTTGTGTGTTTCAAAATAAAGACGTTTACCATCAAACAGAATACAATACAATTAATGGTCAAGACCTTAAATATGAAAACAACATAAATAGAGAAGATGAATGACTTACTGAATTTTATTTAATACAAAAAACTGTCACACTTTTCAAAATAAAACCCTCTCTGTCAGATGTCACAAGACCCCCGGAATATGCTATCAAAATAAAAGCTTTGCCTACGTAATACTTCACACACACATAAGGATAACTTAATAAAGCATGCATTTTAAAAGTAACACGTGAATTGAATGAAACCACAACTACAATCTGTTTGTTTTTCATGGTGTGTTTGACTTGCGGTGCAGGACTGTCACATGCGGGAGAAGTCCCGCGAAATCCTAAGCCCCACGTGGTGGGTCAGACGAAATAACCATGTGGTCATCACACGGCAGGACACCGCCCACTGTGGGCTGGGTCAAGCTGCACCGGAAACAGGCATTCATGAAAAACAAATGGGGCAGAGGAACAGAAATTGAATGGACTGAATACAGAATAAAATGTTGCATACTGAAATAGAATAATCTATCCCCAATAATGCCTTGGACGTGTTCTAGACAGACACACAAATATACAGACTTTAGTACTAAATATGAGGGAAAAAAGAGACATCATAAATCTGTACACTGTTTTGTCTACAGGTAATTATGCAGCTCAACCTATATGAAAGCTACAGTTTCCAATAATAGACGAAAACCATTTTCCATATGTTAAGTGCAAAATTGCATTCTTGTTTCCTGGAAACCCTTTAGGAAACTTATTTTATATATATATATATATAACACAGCATACAAGGATCAGTAAGGCATCACCTCTAAAATTACACACTTCCACCTTTGCTAAATGAACGCAGGAGTAAAATACTGGTTTCTCTCAAATATTATCACAAGTATTTTAAATGTAACTGAGCGTCTGAACTGTAATTCATGTTTCAGTCCAGGTTAAATTTTGAAGAACGAGTGGATTCGTAAGAGATTATGAGACAATGGGCCCTTGGGCACTTTTCCATCTTTTCTTCTGTGGTAGTTCTTCAGGTTAACATGAGCTTTGTGGAAAACAGATCCTGCACTTTAGTACTCGCTGGAGATGAAAGTTTCCCAAAGTTTCCTGGCACTACAGATCCACACGGAAACGCCTCTCCACAGACATCACACAAAATACTGTCACCAAATTACATAAGATCGGACTTGGCATTAGTAAAATCTAGTTTGTTAAAGAATCAGGAATGAAAAAAAGTGAGCCCTCGGGCCCCGGACATTTTAAAGCTCATTCAGAGGAAGAACGTCATAAGTACATTTACTCAAGTACTGTACCTAAGTACACATTTTAAGTATCTGTACTTTACTTGAGTATTTCCATTCATGACACTTTCTACATCACTTTGTAGCCTACTCCACTACATTTATCTCAGTAGATTTGAGATTTTTTATTATATATTTATTATATAATATATATATATTGCCATAGGAGAGCAACAACCCAGCAGCAGGACCGCTACCTCCGCCTTTGTGCAAGGAGGAGCAGGAGGAGCACTGCCAGAGCCCTGCAAAATGACCTCCAGCAGGCCACAAATGTGCATGTGTTTGCTCAAATGGTCAGAAACAGACTCCATGAGGCTGGTATGAGGGCCCGACGTCCACAGGTGGGGGTTGTGCTTACAGCCCAACACCGTGCAGGATGTTTGGCATTTGCCAGAGAACACCAAGATTGGCAAATTCGCCACTGGCGCCCTGTGCTCTTCACAGATGAAAGCAGGTTCACACTGAGCACATGTGACAGACGTGACAGAGTCTGAAGACGCCGTGGAGAACGTTCTGCTGCCTGCAACATCCTCCAGCATGACCGGTTTGGCGGTGGGTCAGTAATGGTGTGGGGTGGCATTACTTTGGGGGGCCGCACAGCCCAGAACCAGAGGTAGCCTGACTGCCATTAGGTACCGAGATGAGATCCTCAGACCCCTTGTGAGAACATATGCTGGTGCGGTTGGCCCTGGGTTCCTCCTAATGCAACACAATGCTAGACCTCATGTGGCTGGAGTGCGTCAGCAGTTCCTGCAAGAGGAAGGCATTGATGCTATGGACTGGCCCGCCTGTTCCCCAGACCTGAATCCAATTGAGCACATCTGGGACATCATGTCAGCACATTCAACTATGTAAAAGGAGTATTTGATGAGATTATTTCATTCATTCAGATCTAGGATGTGTTATTTTAGTGTTCCCTTTATTTTTTTGAGCAGTGTATTTTATATATATTTTATTTGAGTCTGGATAACTGTGACACATTACTCCCTTTAGCTTAAGTTTTACAAACCAAACAGTAAATAGGTTGATCAAGACCCAGCAGATTTATTCCATGACAAAACTCAAATGGGATGTTTTTCTGCATTGAGTATTTTTACTTTTAATACTTTAAAGTACATTTTCCTGTTGATGCTTACTTACTTAAGTAACACTGCAGGACTTGTACTAGAGTATTTTATTTTAAAAGTGAGGTATTAGTACTTTTACATAAAATAATGGTAATAATAATAATAATAATAGTAGTAATACTTATTATTAAATCTCCTTATTCACTGTCTTGGTGAGAGTAGATGATCAGATTATTATGAAGCTACAGCTAGCAGCCAGTTAGCTTAGCTAAGCATGAAAACTGTAAACAAGGGGAAACAGATAGCCTCATGGTCACTAAAGATCACCAATGTTATTATAATTGATCCCGAGGGGAACACAAGTGTCTGTATAAAGTTTAAAGGCAATCCATCCAACAGTTTTTGAAATATTTAAACATCCCACATCGCTGGCGTAGCTAAAAGTTATGTTGAAGCTCAAACATTTAGAGATGTGGCGCCACCTGCTGGTGAAGTTTCTTTGTGTTCACCTACAGTATTGAGGCCTTTTTGGTTTGGATTGGATGTGCTAATTTTTAATATCACACTGAAATGAATATCAGAAGTCCACTAGATGAAGAGGACGAGCTGAATCCAGATCAGTGGCCAACACCCAATCTCTCTTTGCCTCTTTGCACTCTGCAGGACTGAAAATCAATACTGCTGTGTGTGACAGGACGAGATGGAGCAACCACAGAAAGCCGGAAACAGGAGACAAAGGGAGGAGAGGAGAAGAGAGTAGGAGGAAGAGTTTAGCCTAACTACAGAAGGATGGAGAAAATACAGGAGGAGAGTGAAACAATGTAAATAAGAGGTTGAAGTCTTGGATGGATATCTGAATGGGGAGTAAGTATTCAGATCCTTCACTTAAAGGTCCAGTGTGTAATATTTAGGAGTACGTACGAAGGAGAAGAAGAAGAAGAACAACAACAACAACAAGTTGTAGTAGTAGTTATAATCGTCTGGTTTAGAATTAAGAAAAGATGAGAAATTTGGGCAAATGGAGGCCCACACATATTATTTAGCACAAGAATCAATAGAGCGTGTCGACCACATGGACGAGGGTTTTTTTTCCTCCTTAAATCTTGATTCCAAAAAGAGAAATAATGTGCACATGGGACATAAAGAAGTATACAGAACTTAGATTAGTGCAAAATTATGTATTGCATGTACATATTTTGCAAACATGTCATTTGTAATGTGGTTATAAAGGATAAACTAGATTTCATTTATCTAACGCTTTTATCCAAAGCGACTTACAATTGCTATATATGTCAGAGGTCGCACGCCTCTAGCAACTAAGGGTGTTTAAGTGTTTTGCTCAGGGACACATTGGTGGATGTGTCATAGTGGGGATTAAACCCCGGTCTCTCACACCAAAGCCATGTGCCTTACCCACTGCTCCACCACCCCCCAATGTGATGTCCACTCTGGACTTGTTTGTACACTCTGATAATGCTAATCCAACACATCTTTGTAGTAGCGTCCACGTGGATTCCACATTCCAACTTAAGAGCACATGAACACACACTGAAGTCGGAAAAACACCTTCACAACTCGGGAAATGGGACCATCCGAGAAGCACGTGAATGCACCGTGAGCCACTGGTTGCAATTCGCAGCCCTCACCACTAGATGTCACTAAAACTTACACACTGAACCTTTAAATAATCTGTTGCCTTCATAAACATATTGAACATTCAACATTGACGTGACATTTAAACTTATTAACTGTCCCTTTAACTGGCATTATTTCTGATGAAAAACTCTGTTTCTCCCTGAGGCTTTGACCTTTTGACCAAGAGAAGGAGAACTCTTCAGCTCCCATCTTCCTCCTCATCTCGTATGCACCCTCTCTTTCTTATTTTATCCTTCTGACCTCTTCTGCACCTGTTTTTCACTTCCTTCTCTCTGCTCCTCACTTTACATCTCATCTTCCTCCTTCCACTCGCCAGTTCTTTCCCCTTTCTCCTCCTCTTTTTTCTCCTTTAACACCATTTACCAAAATCTAATAATGACCTTTGTGTGCACTTGTGTGTGGGTTGGTGTTTTTTTTTTGTTGCCCTCCCTGAACCTTCACTCAGGCTGATTATTCGCCCGAGCCCGGAGCTGCTCCCAGCCAATGGACAGACTTACTGCTTGCCGTCATGGAGACCCTACAACATGCCAGGTAACCGTGGCAACCACTGAGGAGGGGACAGGACCCATGGCGATTGACACTTATCCTCCCACTCGTGTGGCGAGTGTGGTGCGTGACCTTCATCCCTGATTTCTCTTCAAAACCAGCCTCCTAAATTCTGTTTTTCTCTCCTTTCTAAGTGATGTTCAGATAGTTTCAGCTCACCGTTACATGACTCTGTAGTACTATAACGTAGTACTAGTACCAGTGAGCGGTACTGCTACTACTGCTTCACAGCTGGTGAAATCTCTGCACAAACGGGTTTCGATTTTCTTTACCACCGTAACGTGATCTTCCAGGCACGTGAGTACATTTGAGAAAAGACGAGGTGTGAGTAGAAGTGAGTCAGATGAAATTCAACTTTATTGATCATTGCAGCAGCAAAACAGTAACAGGATACAGCAGAGATAAAAATGAAATAAATTTTTTAAAAAGCAAATAATGTAAGAGGAAGACGATCTGAGGTGATCGTGGGGAGGCTTTTGTATTTCATGCTTCTTCTTGTTTTTGTTAAAATAAACGTGTAAAATGAACCAGAAATCAGCTCTCAGCACCTTTTATAGGACATTTCATATAAAACAACACGTGTGTGCAGGTTTTATTTTAGTATAGCTGCTCCGTGCAGTTTGTGGCAGTTTCAGGTTTAAGTTTGAACTGCGTTGAAATCACTTCCTGTCACTACCTGATTGTTTCCCACAGGATCAGAATTACAAGCTCTGTGCAACAATATTAAACAAGTTAATTAACAGACCAGAATAAGAAAAAACAATAAAAAATACCTGGTTTTATTAAACCTTTATTTGTTATAATGTGCAAATTGTATTCTGGGTTTACAAAGTGGTTTGAATTCACCTTCTTAGGTGTGACTTCAGTTCCACTTCCTCAGCTCTTACGCTCGCTTGAACCCAATGTTAGGTTGTTAGCGAGGAGGTTGGCAAGTTTGGAAAATTCACTGTAGGCTTCTAATAATATGCTTTATACAGTTAAAATCAAGCAACGCGAGTAATAAATACAGAAAATTAATCACAAATCAGAGAGAACATGGCTTTACTGTTCTGTTAGCGTTTTATTTTCCCTGTAGCTTTGTGGACGTCCTTTTAACAAATGTGTCATTGTAGAAATAAGAAAAATAAACAATTGTTATCTGAGGGAGCAAACGTTCCTGTTGTTAACAGTAAAGAGTGCAACTTCTTTGCACTTCAGCCGGCTAGCTTCAATCTCCCCTTCGCTTTAAGTTGTTTTTCTTCTTTTACAAATGAATGTGCAGCAGAGGTAACGGAGCATTCACTACAACAAAACTTTTAAAACTAGTAGCTTAACATCTGCTGACCTCCAGAGGTTTAACTTAAGTCACCCGGCTGCAGTGACGTACAGGTGGACACTGTGACATCACTTCTGACCACACCAATCAGTGAAGCTCAAGAGACGACAGCAAAACACTGCTATCCGACACATTCTCACTCCCATCTCGTCACATATGGACGCTTGGTCAAGACCCCTTGACGTCACTTTTTAACGCCCTGGGTACCCCTTTAATGTTGTTTTTGGACGTGTAGGGCTCCACAGTCAAGGTAGCAATAATAAATATGCAACGTCCAGTAAGACTTTCAAAATAAAACCAGTGGTTAACGACATGAAACGTCGCAATTTGGTTGCAGTTTAGGAAAAGGTCATGTTTTGGGTTAAAATACTTAACTTCCGTAAATTAAGTAACATTACTTAAGTAGCTTATGTAACCTACGTTACTCCACTAAAAACAATCAGTGATGACTTTTTGTTTCACACGGGAAACTAACACAAGTCTCTTGCCCACACGTCTACACCAAAGTTATAGGGCTTCCCACAGAGCGCTACAAACTGACGCCAACGGGTCTTGTCAATATGTGACGGATAGGGAGAGAGAACGGGTTGGCTTTTCAACCTGATGTTAAGTTACGCTGATTAAACTGTTGCGTTTCTGGAGCGGAAAAAGGACAGTGGCGTGTCGTGACCATCGAAGGTCATGTGTTGTCTCACGGGTCTGATGCTGCATTCAAATGACATGGGAAAGATGGTACGAATGAGCTTCAGTTAAAATAAAATATTAAACGTGTCCACATAATACAGAGCATCGTGGTGAGGTGTCAAAAATACATTAACTAATGTGCAAGATTTAATAATTTGTGCTCGCAATTTAGCATCGTTTATCACCTTCATGCCATATTGTCTTACATCCTCCCGTCTCCCTTCAAACGTTATGGATTAAACATGCTTTTAATTTCATCTTGGAGATTTGTGGATATACTTCATAGGCTTTGGCCATGTGTTCACCTTTTCCCTCATCCCTTAACTATATTTCACAGGATAACGTAAGTAAATAATCGAGTAACTGCATCAGAAGGAGAGAATCAATGTACTAATTCTTTGTCAAACCTCCGGCTGAATGAATGTGGCCAAAAGGCAAAATGTATAATATATTATATCCAGAGAATTAATTTACTGAATCATAATATCTTACGATTATGAATTACAATAAATAATGTTCTTTAAAATATATTCTCTGGTCTCCGGCCCCGCCCACGTGAACAGGAAGTGACATCAGACCTGCTGGATGCGCTGGTAGTTTTGGATATAATAACCTGAAAGTGACTGAAACGGTTGTGGTGTTGAACTTTCTGGTTTTGTGAAGAGTGCTTAAAAAAAGGCTTAGTAATTCTAAAATGACTCTTTTTCTTTTTGTCTCAGAAAACTACATATAGTGCAACTTTAAATTAAGACATTTCAGACTCTTAGGAGCCCCGCGTAGTTATGTAAACACAAATACATTATCAATATACAACACAAATATTAGAAATATCATCACTGTCCTCCAGAAACCTTGTACCTTAAGAAATCCTCAAAACTCAAAGAGTCAGCGGTTAAATGATGCTCATCACAGGAAACCTTTGGTAATCATTTTTTAAACAAATATTTATAACTTCTACGATAGTAAACTAGAATAATTTTGTGTTTGAACTGATGGTTGGATAAAACGAGCCAGTTGAAGACATCAACGTAACCCAATGATTAACTGATTAATTGAAAAATATTAATAATTAGTCGTTAGTTGCCGCCATAAAACAGATACAAAAGATACAAAAATGTTTGTTTGGAACAAACCCTTTTTAAAAACATGTAAATCAGGATGTTAATGACCTTTTCGCTTCATCCTGATGGCATCTGCACCAACTGGTTATAAGATACTTTATCATCACTGCAAAGAAACACACATTTGAACATTTTAACGAGCTGATGAGATAACTGGATTATTTTAGCCATGTTAGCAGTGAGCCTCTTTGGACTGCTATGATGGTCGGGCAGTCGGTCCAACTCCTTGGTTCAGACTCAGATATCTCAATGAAACCTGGCAGAGACGTTCACGATCCCCTTATGATGATTTGTAATAACTTTGATGATCTCTTAATGTTTAATCTGGCGCCATCATCAGGCCAAACGTTGCAATTTATTTAACACTGTTATATGACCAAATAGCTATTATCTGTTAGCATGCTAACAAGCTAAACTAGAGACGGTGTACATGGTAAACATGTTAGCATGCTGATGTTAGCATTTAGCTCAAAGCACTGCTAAGCCTCAGCTAGCACGAGCTGTAGACTGGTTTCCAGAGCAGGTCACCTTGTTTTAGGAAACACGACCCCAAAACAGAAACGTCTGCATAAATCATGGCGTTATGGAAACAGGTGAAATAATGTTTCACATCTTCTGATAAATGAGTTTGTCTTAGCAGTGATTTTCTCTACAGCGAAACAACAGAATCACAGACGACCTTTACAGCAAAGCGTCTCGTGCGTGAGAGGAGGACTTCTTAAGTGCAGGGTTTCTGGAGGACAAGAGAGACAGGCAATAAATAGGTCACACGATTAAATAGCTAAGAGTTCAGTGATTATATGACTTGGCTAAAAGCAGGCAGGAATGCAGCAAAAATCACGAGCATGATGCAAAAGTTGAATAAATTCGAAACGTTCCTTATCTGTGTGTTTTCAGTGCATTGAGCATAACAGGAGCTGATTGACATTCTCATACATAGTGTGACAGTACCTTGGATACATTACAAAGCTTTACATCCACCACTTCAAAAGTCCAGAGGATGGATAGAAGAGGAAGGAGGAAGAGAGAGGAGAGGAGGAAACAAAGAGAGAAGAGGAGGGGTAAGGAGGAGAGGAGCGAAGACGATGGATAGAAGAGGAGGAGGGGAGAGATAAGGGAACAGGAGACAAGGAGAGGAAAGGAAGAGAAGAGAGAAACAAAGAGAGACAAACAAGTAGAGGAAAGGAGAAAAGGAGAGGAATCGAGGAGAGGAAACGAGAGTAAGCAAAGAGAGGGGGAGAAGAGAGGAAAGGAGAGAAGGAAAGCAAAAAAGGAGAGGACACAAGGAGAGGTAATAATGATCTGTGAGGAGGATGAGAGGAAAGGAGAGAAGAGGAGAGGAGAAGAAACAGGGATGGGAGAGAAAAAGAGGAGAGGAATAGAGATGTAAGGAAACAAGGAGAGAAGAAAAAGATGAGAGGAAAGAAACAAGATCAGGAGAGGAGAAGAGAGAAGGGGAGAGAAGACAAGGTCAGGAGAGGAAGACGAGGAGGAGGAGGAGAAAAGGGGGGAAAAAGCATTTACACAGGAGTCGTCAGACCAAGGTAACCGAGAAAGGAGTGTTTGGTGGATGACGACAAAGAGGAGGAGGAGGAGGAGGAAGATGGAGGAGAGCGTGGTTTCAGAGAAATGAGCGTCGTGATGGGGAGGAGAGGAGACAAATCCCTCCACCCTGCCCGGTCAGAGAGTGAGGGGTGAAGAGGAGGAAGAGAGGAGGAGGAGGGTGCAGCAGTGTGTGTGTGTTCGCCGGCGTGTGCAGCCGCTGTACGTGTTTGCTTGAACGCTGATTGTCTCCGTGCACGTACGACCGGTGCGTGTGCACGTCGCCTGGGTGTTTGACCTTGCAGTGGAGGCGCAGACTGTCCCTCCGCTTGGCGCTGTAGGGGCAAAGGTCGCACGTGAACGGCCGCTCCCCTGTGTGCACGCGCACGTGCTCTACCAGCTTATTGGCTGTCCGCGTCAGGTGGCCACACCGGTCGCACCGGTACTGGTTGCCTTGGCGGTGACCCTGGAAGTGAACCAACAGCTCCTGTTGCCCTGGAAACGACCTCTGGCAGATGCGGCAGCGGTGCTCAGAGGCGCTGTTCTCCGGCTGGGTTGCCATAGCAACTGACGGAGCGCTGCTTGAGGCAGTGGAGGCGGCAGGAGGGGTGATGGGGCATCTGGGAGTCAGGAGAGGAGAGAGGGGTTAATAACACACACCTGCCTGATCCTGCAGACTTCAATCAGGCCAAGACCACATGTTCCCCGACAGAGACGATCAGGCTGTTTGGGTCCCGATCGATTTGGACACCTACCAATAACGAACCAATAAGGTTGATTAAACTTGATCCTGACACTGAAATAACAGCTGCAGCCTGTTAAATCGTGTTTTTTACCAAATCTAAATAGCTGTTTTGGTTCAAACTACTGAGTTCATAATCTCAAATTATTGGTCTGCTCTGATCCAAATAAAAGCTGAATGAAACAGTGAGAAAGTGACTCCTGAAGCTGAAGTGATCTGATCAGCTGGATCGTTTCACCACAGAAGAAGTATAACTCTGTTGGAGTAGGAATGTGAGACGCTGATATCACACGTCTGTGACAAGTGACAAACTGACGTATGGCAACATATTTTGGGAAATGGTGATGATAGGTCAAACTTGTGGAAAAGTTGTGGTGACTGGTCAAAAAATGCAAGCCGTGCTCCAACTCAATTCACAGAGATTTGTTGAATTTAATAGTTGCGATTGTGACATTTCGAAATCCTGGAGAGACTGATATGCCAGGATGTATGCAGATGATTTAATTATTTGTTCATTTAAAGACAATCAAACACACACACACACACGTTTTCAGTAACTTTGACTGATGCGACCGCCACTCACTGCTGTCACATTGTTTCAATTTCAGCGATTCTGATTCTACTTATTGAAAATGGTCCTTATCGAATCTCGGTTCTGATTCACCACAGATCTTGTCAGCGCTCGGTGACATTCATCCTCTTCCTCTCTGCTCATCTTCCTCTTCATGGCTAAAGTGAAAGTAGTTTCTGTTTTAGGGGCGTCTCTGGGGACTCGTATCTAAAAAAAAATATATTGGAATAATCTGTTGACTTCATTTGTTTCCCGTCAGTATAAACGGAGAACGTCAGCTCATCTGTGTTTTGTATCTGAGTGTGGGACGTTGCTACTGTTAGCGTTAGCTGTTTCTGTAGCATCAATGTAGCTGAGATAGCGCGACTTAATGAACGTGGTGCGTTCCTTCACGCTGTGTTGAGGTAAATCCTTCGTTCATATTGGAGCAGCATTCCTCCCTCGCACCAAACATCCTTACTGCAGGTGTTGCATTTTGCTGTGTCGTTCTCTTTTTAAGGATGTTAGGTCGGCGCAGCAGGTCCTGGCAGATACGTGTAACTTGTATGGATTGTAAAATGCTCACTGCAGTTCAATCGGGAGCGCGACTCAAATATGAAAAAAGTTAGGAACCAAAGCAGATTCGAATCAAATCCACGGTTCTTGGAAATGTGGTAAAAGTTCCAGTTTAAAACCGGTTCTCGATACCCAAGCCTACTTACTGTCACACTGTCATGACTTACAGGGACACTTGAATGGGATGGGGCCATTGTTTGTGTTAGCAGTAAACACAATACGACACGTTACAATGTGTGCTGTGAAAAGTATTGTTCCACAGCGTGATGAGGAGTTACACACTGCTGGTAAAAATTAAAACAAATGTGCCATGGCAAGAAATTCCCTGGAAGAAGCGTTAAATCTTATAAAACATTTTGTTTTCTCAGTTAAATTCATGTTAATGGGGCTTTATTGGCATGGGAAACAGACATTACCAAATGTCTGCAAGTGGGAAATAAAAACATGTACATAGACAGAAGTATTAGACAGTCAGCGTTTTCATTTATAAACATTTATTTGAAGCCAAGAGTCTGAGTGAAATATATCCGCATGGCATGATTTTAGCTCATGTAGACACATCACTATCCGTATGTCTGTCTGCAGCTACATGGCAAGAAACTCAGAACAGAAATACCAAAAGATGAGTTACATAGTTGTTCTTTTTTATTGTAAAATGAGTACTTGTTAGTTAAATCTGAGATCATGAGATTTAAATCTTTTTTTTAATGTTATGAAATTAAAGTAGTATTTTAGAGAAAAAATACCTTTTCATTATTAATTCAAGAGTCAACAATTCAAAAGTAAAACAGTCATAATTTTTTGAGATTTAAGTCAAACATTGATCAAAAACAGTATTATAACTAAATATTCACTGTGCATAAATATTAGATGTTTTTTTTCTAAAGATTACAACTTTTTTACAAGATTTTGTCTTTTTCTGAAAATTTTATTTTATATTTCTAATTTTATTTTCCTTAGAAATCTTAATTTTTCAGTGGTGCTAAAAGTCACAGCACTCAATACATAATTTAATGCATGTTGGTTACAGCTTTTTAAGAACTGAACTGAAGAGATCGCTATCAAAATATTTGTTTATGTTGAAAAACATTTAAAGTGAGCCCACCTCACATCTCCGCTGGCTCCCGTGTTCCCATTCAAGTGCGTGCTGGCGTGAGCCCTCATCTCTGCCTCCTGATTGGTCGAGTGGTCGCACACGCTGCAGTGCAGCGAGAAGGAGCCGTGCTCCCATTGGCGGTGTTCTGTCATGTGACTGTGGAAAAGGGCACGCCTGTCCGTCTCAAAACCGCACACATGACACCTGGAGGTGGAGAGGCAGGTTATTAGGTGTTGCAGCAGAAGATATTTGATCGACAGAGATGTTGTGTACAACTGCTACTACTTCCATCTTTTACTGCTTAGTAAAAACAAATAAAATAAAACACAATTGACTGAAAATCCAGGCTTTTCAACAGCACGTCATATATCTAGCAGGCATGTGATTGGCTAAGGACAAAAAAGCAGAGGATGGCGTGGTGCGATGCTGTGGGGGGAGCGCGTGGTCGTGGGGTCTGGGGGAATTTGATGTTAGCTTTACATTTTAACATAAGTTTATACAATTATCATTACAATATTAAAAAGTTTTTCACTCAGACATTAACAAGAAAAAAGTGAAACAATTGAAGAAAGTGAGCACCCTTCACATTTTTGTAGAGCTGCAATGATTTTGATAAAACTAACACCTTTATATTTACAGCATGTGCTACTTTGCACCTGAATAATTTGACAGGATTTAGTATTGATAACTGTGTGAAACTATCTTATTATTTTTAGTGTAAATAAGAGTCAACCATCTTTTTAGGATCTATCTATGTTTAATAACTATTATTCTATCATAATCTTATTTTTAACACTTTATTCTATGTATATGTGACACATGTAACCCAATGGAGATGCTTTGCTGTTGTTTATTTTATACAATGACAATAAAGATAATTGACTAGTTGATTTGTGTAATTTTTTAAGTAAAAAAAGTCCTTGAAAAGTTTCTCTGATTCCAGTTTCTTAATTGTGAATATATTTTGGTTTCGTTACTCCGCTATGACGGTAAAGTGAATATCTTTGAGTTGTGGACATTTGAGGACGTCATCTTGGGATTTTCACTGATCAACATTTTTCAGCATTTTCTGACATTTTATTGAAAAAAACAACTAATCGATTAATCGAGAAACTACAGCTGGAAAATAAAACAATAATGATCATTATCGCAATATCATTTTCCACAACAACAATATAACAATAATCAAAAAATGTTTCATTTAACTCATTTGAATCACAAACTAATCAGAACAGATATTTCTGTTGTTGAGGAAAAGGGACTGAAAAAAGATTTGACTTGATTTTACTCATGCATATTTGTTGAAAAAAGGTTTTTACTCTCTTTATTTTGAATGTTCTACCTCAGATTTGGGAAGCAAGAAGAGTTTAAACCACAGTTCACTCAGGAGCCTTTAAACTTAAAAGAAATACTGATTTGACATTTATCGAGATATTTATCAATCATCAAATCAAATAATATTATCTATTATTTTTATTTTATTTTATAGATAACACTTTTGGCCCAGCCCTACGTGAAAATAAGTGACAGATTAATCAACAATGAAAATAATCCCTACATTTTTGTGTGCCATAAAAAAAAAAAAATCACAAAATAACATGTGTTAAACAGCTGTAGGGGGTTATTATTAGCACTGTGTCTTTACCTTATCCACACTCTTATTGGCCCTGTTCTTTATACTCGCTATTTTGACAGGGTTAGAATTTATTTAGATTTTAAATAATATGTTTTTTTAGAGCAGCTCCAGCAAAGTCACTATATAAACTCAACAATAACAAATCTAAAATGTGAGTAAAATAATATTCCTGATTTCAAAATACTGAGAGAAGTTTAGAAAGAATGAAGAACTCAGACATCAGTCGTCACTTCTTCAAAGGCCTGTTTGATGATTTTAGGGTTATGGTTTGGGTCAGAGACCAGGGAATCCAGTACGGTCCTCATAAGCATAGTGGTACAAACGTGTGTGTTTGTGTTACCTGTAGAAGTAAGAGCAACCTGTGGTTTGATCTCTGCTGAGGCTGCTTTGGGTTTCTGTGAGAATAAAAAAAAAGAAAGAGAGTTGTTCATGAAATAAATCTTCCGTTGCCACATCTTTCTTTATTTTTTTAATGTGCACTCCAAAGTCTACTAATGATGTGTCCCCCGGAAGTTATTATTGGTAAACTTCTCTGTGACTGTCTGCTGCGAGTGTGTGTGTTTAGTCAGACTACCTTTATTATAAACCCAAAGGGCAATCTGGTGGCTGCACACATCCATAACACAGACACTGAAAGACAATCATTAAAAAGTAATAATAATAACAATAAGGCTGCATTAAAAACACTGCAGGCAAACTAAACGCCCCAAAAGTGCTCATTTAGTGATGTCAGTGCAGCGGGTATGAAAATGTTTTTGAGGCAGCCTGTGGCAGCTACCTAAAGGAAGAAAGTGGAATCAGAGTTATACAGAGGGTGATAATTATTTCCAAATAATATAATGAGCTCAGATGACCTCCTCTGTCTGAGCAGAGGACACGCTTAGGGCTCCGACCAAAGATTTTGGCTCAATATTTGGCAACGTCATCCAGCAAGGCAATAAAATGCGTAAGTAAGCTCACAGTCATGGTACTTTGTACCGTGAACATCATATTTCTACTATCCAAGGAGGGTTAAATCAAGGGCATCTGGACTTGATTAATCGAACCAAGTCCAGATGCCCTTGATTTAACCCTCCTTGGATCACTGTGACCTGGATAAACGGAGAATCCTCACAGATATATTTCTGTTTACCTAGCGATCGTTTAAAGAATAATAATTTTCAGTTGTAAAATCATGCGTCAGAGGATTATTAAACTGCTCGCGCAGCCTTCTGGTGTCTAATAAACCTTCAAATTATTATTATGTCTCACCAGAGCCTGCAAACTAATGCAGCCACTTGTGCTTCCTGTAGCTAACAGTCATGCTGGATTTCGCCAGGTGAAATGTACCGGTGTGTAGAAAAGCAGAAGGGGAACAGGAAACAGCGTAGGTAGGGATGTAAACATGAACTGCGGTTACTTTTTGTTAACCTGGGTCACTGTCTAGGACTCACTGCAGCCTCGCGGAGCCTCTTCTTCTCTGCTTGCTGCTTGGAATATTTTTGGCATGCAGTCATAAAGCAAGATCATAAAAAATCAATATTTCCTGAATGAGAGGTCAGTCCCACGCCCTCTCTCACACACGCTGAACACTGAAGAGCCTCGCAATTTCACATGTCACAGTTAAATCTGTTTGAACTCTGGAGGTTAGTCAGTTCACGACCTCCGTTTAAATTCATTAGTGGTCGCCAATAATCGGTCTGGCCGATTATCGGCGCTGATATTCAGCATTCTTCCAATAATCTGCATAAGTCATTTTAAAAACAGATAGGCGAAATAATTAATTAATAAAAAAATTGGCTGTGATACAGCCGCCTCTCTCTGTCTGTACTCACCACAGAACTAGCTGATTGGTTACAAGTCACGAGCAATAGCCTATCAACACTGACTAGTGTGTGGAAGCAGCCAATAGAACGAGCCATCATGCTGCAGCCCCTCCCCTCCTCTCTCAACAGAGCTCCGCATACACATGCGGGGTGAAGTAAGCAGAGATCAGTGTATATTACACAAGTTGACCATAACTACCCCGTTATTGTAAGTAAGTGCAGCAAAACCAGCAGTACTAGTAAAAGGCTGATACTGCATCAGTACGACAAGCAGGAACGTGCACAGAGCGATATTTAATCTGCTCTGTCTCATCCACCGCAGCTGTGTTTTGGTTTTACACATGTGCTATCTCGGCTAATATCTAGTTTGTCATAAACAAGGTAAGACGAAATCTCTCTGTCTGTAGCCTGTTCAGCTGAGATGCTACGTACCTTAAAATTTTTCCTTGTAAACTCAGCTGCTTGTTGAGAGAAACCAGGTCCTCTCTACAGCAGCAGCAGAGGGAGGAGGAGGACTGCCGTCTTCAAACTAAACTGTATTTTGATGTCAGGAATATAGTTTATTTAACATGTTCCATTTGTTTCCAGTGACTATATGGTGACTTTGCTGCTCTGAAAACAGTTATAATAAAATATTAAATTTGATTACTGTTCTGAATCTATTCTTTTTTAAATAACATTTTTTAAAGGCATTTATTTCATAATGAAAATCCTATAAGAGTACAGATCAAATAAATAGTATCAATAAAATCCTAACAATATAAAATAAATACAATATAAATGGCAGCCAGTAAAGTCAAAGTTTATGATAATTTATCACTCATAGTTAAGTCCATCTCATCAATTCATTTAATTTACTATTTATAAAGATTAAACATGACAATTAACTGTTATTTTTAACAGTAATTAATTGTTATTTTTAACAAAGATTTGTGTTGGAGTTTGTTGTTTTTCACACCAAGATTAAAAAATTTTCAGCAAATGTCGCTTCCAAATATCGTTCATCGAGCTAATTGGTTACTAATAATCGGTATCGGGATCGGCCCGGAAAAAAAACATATCAGTCGACCCCTATACGAAATCCGTTCTGACTGCACCACAAGGTTTTTCTATCTGAACACCAAATATTGCATGTGACGTAAGAACCCTACAGTAAGACATCATCACTAATAATTTCATCATTTGCATCATCAAGGTTATCCATATTGTACTGTGTCCCTCCTCTGCTGCTCTGCCTGAGCTTGCTTGTTCCTGTTAAAAAGACCTTATAAATAAAAAACTTACTTACATACATCATCATTTTTATTTATTGACTACATTTTGTATTATTAATCTGAATCTGCAACGTAACAAAATATATCAAATAAATGTAGTGCAGTAAAAAGTACAGTATTGATATGATAGACCAATAAATCAGGCCTATTATCTGGCATTTTGAGATAATCATCACTCACAAGGCCGACAAACAAAAAATGTCTCTGCAGGCAGCCTTGTCAGTGTGACCTTGAGAGTTTTGGGAAGGTGGTGTAAAAAGTTAATTTGGAGTCCGAAACATCCTCAGTCACCATAATCGTTTCCTAAATGACAACTAACCATCCATCCATCCTCAGCCGATCGCAGGGGCAACAGCTCAGGGAACCCAAACCTCCCTTTCCCGAGCCACATTAACCAGCTCTGATTGGGGGATCCCAAGGCGTTCCCGGGCCAGTGTGGAGATATAATCTCTCCACTGAGTCCTGGGTCTTCACCGAGCCCTCCTCCCAGCTGGACGTGCCCAGGGGGCATCCTTGCTAGATTCTCGAACCACCTCAAGTGGATCCCTTTGACACAAAGAAGTCGAAAGGATCCAGTTGAGTTCTGAGTTCTGAGTTCCTCACAGACCCATTTTGGGTGCTTGTACCCGCGATCTAGTTTTTTCTGACATGACCCAGCCTTCATGACCTTAGCAGCCACGAAATTTCTATTTTTATCACAATGGCGCAGCAGAGCAAATGCAAAACCGCCCCCACTGCTCCGATTCTCTGGCCAATCTCCGCTCCATTGTCCCCTCAGTCACAAACAAGACCGCGAGCTACTTGAACTCTCTCACTTGGAGTAAGGACTCATTCCCTAAATGACAGCAGATCTAATCTAAAACCATTACTGGCTAGCATTAAATATATATTGTTATACTGTAGAGAATAACGCAGCTGAATGACGTCACTTCTGACAAACTGTACCCCACTCGTCCGTTATGAAATCTTCAGCAGAACCCAATCTGTGTTTCTCTTTCACTCATTAATAAAGCTTCCATCTAAAACAACACATTACTTTGAGATAACATGTATATTTGAATGTATACTCTAGGGATAACAGAATTACACATGACTTCTCTTTGTTTTGGTTTGCTCCCTAAATATCTGCCATTGAAAAAAACAAAATCTGTCGAGAAGTGAAAGTCTCAAGTAGCAGAAAATGGAAAAGTGCAAAAATCTCAAAATTGTACTTATATGCAGCACTTTGGGCCAATGTACTTTGTTACTTTCCACCACTGGGCGTCACACTACCCCAAAATGAAAGTGATAATTAATCTGAATGATGGATAGTTGATCGTAGATTAATCCTGTTTTAAAAAGGCTGTTCTCGTCTGTGACATCATGCCCTGCTACTCACTGTAATTTCAATTAGATCAGAGCTTTGGTGGAAACGTGCTTTAATCCTTCCACTCTGACTGACAGTGTCATTTCTCATTAATGCCTATAACACTGTGATTGGCAAGCGAACGCATCAACGATGAGCACAACCTTGACTCAGTACGTGATTACAAAAACACTCCCATGAGACAGCGATCAACACTCAAAGATCTACGCCTCCTCGAGCAAAACAGCTTGTTTCTCACACACGAGCTCTGTATTTTTTATCTAAGCACCGTGATGGTGTCTAATGCAGCTACTCACACCACCTACTGTATCTGTGTGTGTCTGTGTGTCTGTGTGTGTGCAGTATATTACCATGTGGAGGATCCTGGGAGCTCAGAAGCGATGAAGAGTCCACATTCACCTTCAAAACAGGACTACAGCAAGGGTAACACACACACACACACACACACACACAGTCGTGCACACGTATAGTCAAAACATAGCAGGCCAGAGGTCAAAGTGTCCACGTGGGATCATCGACTGATGCTGTGAAGTGTGATGTTACCTGCTTCTGATGGGCGGAGTCGTCCTCTCCCCCAGCCGACTGTTGGATTTACTGACCCTCTCTGCAGAAACACAGATCAGAGTTCATTCAGATCCATCAAACACAAACTCATTCATGTGTATTTATTGTGTTATTAAAAACTGGATCTGTATCAGAAACAAAAGCAACATTTTATTTATTTTAAAACATGAACATGATACTAAAACGAATAAATAACTTAAACAGGTTCTTTTTGTGACTTGATAGGTGAACAGGAAGTGAGAGGAGCTACATCTTCTTTTGAATTGCTGCCGAAGTTCTTTTTAAAACCTCTTTTAAGCATTTTTATTAACCTTATTCATCTTGCCTTAATTTGTCTTCATGTGTGTACGCAGGTGGTTTATTTATATATGAAATAGATTGAATGCATATTTTTTTATCCTTGTAAAGCACTTTTTAATCTCTGCTTTTGATAACTACTATATAAATAAATATTATTATCATTATTATTATTATCATCATTATTATTATGAACATAGAATGACAAAAGGTCCCGTGTCAGACTCAAACCAGAAACGTGATTATAGGGTCGGTGTCTTAAACCCGTAGACCAGGATGCCACTTAAAAGGAAATGTTCACATTTTTCAAGTGTGTCTTAAAACAACAGTCAGGTGCCCACGTGAACACTGTACACAAAATCTACAGTCCTCCTTACATGCAAACGTTTTTGTGAAGTTAATATGAAGCTTCTTAAATATTATACTAGATATACTGTTTTTTATCCTCTATGGCAGTAACCTGAATCTCTTTGGGTTGTAGACAAAACAAGATGTTAGAGGACTTCCATCTTGGGCTTTGGGAAACACTGATCAACATTTTTCACCAACTGTCTGACATTTTATGGATCAAACAACTTGTCGATTAGAAAATAATCGCTAGTTTGCTGCAGCCCTAGTTTGACGCACTTGAAAATTGTAATATTATAATTTAACAGCTTTGATGACTGTTCTTTCAAAGGAATATTATGAATTGTAGTCTATAAATGTGGTCATGAGGGTAGTTTCAATCTCTCAGACTGTCACTATCCAGGGCTTAAAGGCGTTTTTGTATTCGACAATATAAATATGTCTGGAAAATATTCTTGCATATTCTTTAACTGTCTCGTGTTAGGTGTGTGAAGCGCCCGAAAGAAATGGGACTGGCACTTCCTGGCGACGTGGACACTCATTGGTTATTGTAGGCCGTGGACAGGGCATAGAAGTTTCTATTGGGTCAATTAAGGTGTCACTCACAAGGTCAACATGTGGTGTAGACGTGTTTTTTGTTTACATCCTAGCTGTAGTTAGGCTAATATAAAGCGACGCAATAGCAGTCGATGTGTATTCATTGACATAATAATGCTTTTTGGACTAAATATTTTACTGGATTGGATCGTCTGGACCTTTGCTAACGTAACAATTTGCCATTTTTGTCGGAATGTAATCCGCCGTTGGAGTATTATGGAGTACGGCTTCACAGATAAGTGAAGCCGTACTCCATAATTGATAATATGCAGTGCTTGAAGTGGGCCACCAGTAAGTTACTTCTACATTTTAGTCGTCCCGGGACTTTTCTTGCGCACCGGTGGGCTCTATGTGGCGCTCATCTGTTCCCATTCTCGCCTGTTTGCTAATCTCTGTCGGCGGAGACGGAGCAGGTGGAAGCTCGGTGCCTTTCATGCAGCCGTGAGCTCCCATGTGAACGGGAGTACCAGCAGGGCTGGGCAATAAAACAACAATAATAATAATTATTGCAACATAATTTTCCTCAATAACAATATAACAAATGTTTATGTGTTTGATTTAATTCATTTGAATCACGCACAAATCAGCACTTTACCTTGTTGAGGAAAAGGGACTGAAAAAATATTACTTAGTTGAAATTTACTTGACCATAATTTAAGTTTTGCACGTTTTACCTCAGATTTGTTAAGTGATCCCAGTGTTTCCCAGAGAATGACAGTGTAACTGTGGCACCAGATAGAAACAACGTGCTAACCTCGACAACCCAGCTGTATTCTAACGTTAACTTAGCTTTCCTTATTAGCTCCTTAATTACGTGCTTGCTAATAACTTTTTTTAAGCTAGGCGTCCCACAGCGTTGTGTGGGACAGATTTGTGCAGCGGTGTTCATGAGGGAGAGAGAGGGGGATGAGCGAGAGGATGTGCTCAATCAAATATCATTTTAAATAGGCCTAGTAAAAAATTAAGTGTTTGTTCTGACCATAAAAATAGTTTAAAACCACAATTAACTATCTGGTTTCTTCAGCTTTCACTCGGGAGCAAAAATCTGCCTTATAATGATTTGACATTTATCATAAGAATAATCAATATTGAATGATGTGAAATGTTTTATTGTGGTAACATTTTCAGCCATATTGCCCAGCACCTATATTTTCCACTTCAAGCACTGATTATAGATGGTGGCAGAAAATGTTACCAAAATGCAGGAAATGAACTGTTTAATGCTCAAAATCAAAATCAAGACCCCCCTTCATATTTACACATGTTTTATCAAACCAGTGTACAATTATCTTCTTGTCTTTTTCTTGTGAACCCAGAATTGTGTTTCTTCATGTTTCGTGAGCTAAGTGTATGTCAGAACCCTAATCTGAGTCCCTATGTCCCCGTCAGTTTTCAATACAAAGTTACGCTCTTGCCCGCTATCCTCCATCTTTCGTAAACCCCCCGAACACATTTGAGGCACAGAAAAATTTCTTGCTTTAAGCCCTGACTATCACTATATAAACACTGTCAGTAAAAGGCGTCTTTGTGCTGCGGCAAGTTGTTGTATTGTGCTTACTGAAGTTTGAAGAAGAAGTATAAATCCATTAGGGAATCATTTTCCTTCTCCTGGACAGAGACCAGAGAGGGGGAAATCCTCTCCACCCTGCCAGCAAATCACCCTCCTGTCTCACATGTCCTCCACACTGTGTTTTGGCAAAAAACTGAATCTGAATCAGTGAAAGTGAATCAGGAGCGTGAGAAGATGTGTTTGTGTGTTACCTGACAGCTGGTGCAGCAGCGTGGACGCTAGGTTCACGGACATGTCCTGCCACAGCACGGCTCTGAGGCACTGGTCGGCCATCTTGGCTCCAGAGGTGAACTGATCTTCCATCTTGGCTCCAAAGAAGAGCTGCTCTTCTGTCTTCACTCCTGAGAAAACGTGGTCTGCCATCTTGGCTCCAGGAGAAGAAGCCAGTTCTCCTTTGGTCCCTAAGAGAAGGGGTTTTTCGAGCTTAGCTCCTGCAGGAAACTGGTCCTCCATCTTGACTCCAGAGAGAATCTTGTTGCTCATCTTGGCAGCAGAGACAGGCTGCTCTGCAATATT